GAGGGGTGATTATGGGGAGGGGGGGCCATGAGGGGTGATTATGAGGGGACGGGGGGGGGGGCCATGAGGGGTGATTATGGGGGAACGGGGGGGGGGCCATGAGGGGTGACTGAGGGACGGGGGGGCCATGAGGGGTGATTATGGGGGACGGGGGGCCATGAGGGGTGATTGAGGGACGGGGGGGGGGGGCCATGAGGGGTGATTGGGGACCCGGGACGGGTGATTGGGGCCATGAGGGGTGATTGAGGGACGGGGGGGGGCAATGAGGGGTGATTATGGGGGACGGGGGCCATGAGGGGGTGACTGAGGGACGGGGGGCCATGAGGGGTGATTGAGGGACGGGGGGGCAATGAGGGGTGATTATGAGGGACGGGGGGGCCATGAGGGGTGATTATGAGGGACGGGGGGGGGGCCATGAGGGGTGTGATTGAGGGTCGGGGGGGCCATGAGGGGTGATTATGGGGGGATGGGGGGGCCATGAGGGGTGATTATGGGGGACGGGGGGGCCATGAGGGGGTGATTATGAGGGACGGGGGGGCCATGAGGGGTGATTATGAGGGACGGGGGGGCCATGAGGGGTGATTGAGGGACGGGGGGGCCATGAGGGGTGATTGAGGGACGGGGGGGGCCATGAGGGGTGATTTGATTGAGGGACGGGGGGGGGACAATGTGGGGGTGATGAGGGACGGGGGGGGGGCCATGAGGGGTGATTATGAGGGACGGGGGGGCCATGAGGGGTGATTATGAGGGACGGGGGGGGCAATGTGGGGTGATGAGGGACGGGGGGGGGGGCCATGAGGGGTGACTGAGGGACGGGGGGGCCATGAGGGGTGATTACGGGGGGCAGACTCCTCCTCCTCTGACTTTTGCTCCTCCTCAGTGAACGTGGTGGAAGCTCTGCAGGAGTTCTGGCAGATGAAGCAGACGCGGGGGGGCGGACCTGAAGAACGGCGCCCCCTGGTGGTCTATGAGATGGTCCCGTCCAGCAGCCCCCCGTAACATCTGCTACGTCACCCTCCCCGGGGGCAGCTGCTTCGGGAGCTTCCAGGTATTTATTTATTTGTATATACAATGTTGGAAGATGCTGAACACTTCAAGAGCCTGTAGTAGGGGGATGGGATGTGGGCGGGGCTGACAGTCCTTATAGAAATATTCTTTAACCGCTTTCCCTCCCCCGCCCCCATAACAGATGTACGGCTACAGGGCGGCAGGGGGCGCAGAGATCATGTATATAGGCACCTGATTTCGCGTTTCCAGGTAGGGGGCGCGCATGCCCGACCCACCATTCCCGACCGCAGCTGTCAATCACTGTCCTCGGCCGGTGATTACTCGCCGCGTTGATGATTGCTGAGGATCTCTGACCCCTCCCTGCCCGGCGCCATTAGTACAGTGTCAGTATTAGCACTGATCACTGTATTGGTGTCACTGGGGATGTCAGTGACACCAAGTCCCCCCCAGTGTCAGAATGCCCGCCGCAGTCCCGCTAGAAGTCGCTGATCGCCGCCATTAATAGCAAAAAAAAAAAATCCCATTATCTATACCGCCATTTGTAGACGCTATAACTTTCACGGAAAACCAATTAATTTCCATAATTTGCCAAAATTTATGACAAAATGTGTTTTTTTTTTTTTTTTATTTTTTTTTTTTTTTACTGGATATGTTTTCTAGCAAAAATATTGTTTTTTATTTTTTTCTCAAAAAATTGTTTTTTTTTTTTTTATTTTTACTGGATGTTTTATAGCAAAAATTGTTGTTTTTTTTTTTTTGTTTTTTTTTTTTTTTTTGCTCAATTTGTCTTTTATTTATTTTTTTACTGTTTGTTTTATAGCAAATTTTTTTTTTTTTTTCTCAAAATTCTTTTTTTTTTCTCAATTGTCTTATTTATTTTTTACTGGATATGTTTTTATAGCAAAAATATTTTTTATTTTTCTCAAAATTCTTTTTTTTTAATTTTTTTTTAACTGGATATGTTTTATAGCAAAGCGAACAAAAAACAAAATAATATATATATATTATAAATTTATTTTTTTTTCTCAAATTTTTTTTTTTTTTTTCTCAAAATTCTTTTTTTTTTTCTCAATTGTCTTATTTATTTTTTACTGGATATGTTTTTATAGCAAAAATATTTTTATTTTTCTCAATTCTTTTTTTTAATTTTTTTTTAACTGGATATGTTTTATAGCAAAGCGCGAACAAAAAACAAAATATATATATATTATAAATTTATTTTTTTTTCTCAAAATTTTTTTTTTTTTTTCTCAAAATTCTTTTTTTTTTTCTCAATTGTATTTATTTTTTACTGGATATGTTTTTATAGCAAAAATATTTTTTTTTCTCAATTCTTTTTTTTTTATTTTTTTTTAACTGGATATGTTTTTATAGCAAAGCGAACAAAAAACAAAATATATATATATATTATAAATTATTTTTTTTTCTCAAATTTTTTTTTTTTTTTTTTACTAGATGTTTTATAGCAAAAAAAAAAAAAAAAAAAAAAAATATATATAATATATATATTATTTTTTTTATAGCGCAAAAAAAAAAAAAATGCACAGGTGATCGAATACCATCGAAAAAAAAGTTCTATTTGTGGGGAAAAAAAGGGCGTAAATTTCATTTGGGTGTGGCTTTGCATGACTGCGCAATTGTCAAAGTGACGCAGCGGCGTATCGCAAAAAATGGGGGGGACCCTCTGGAGGGCGAGGGGGTTAAAGGGGAACTCAAGGTGTCACCTCACCCCCCCGCCCCCCCCACCACACCTTTCTCTGGCAGCCTGCTTGCTGGTCTGATGACCTCACCAGGACTTTCTGTTCTTCCTCCAGCAGGGGGCGGGCATTGTTCAAGTTGCGCTCCAGCAATCCCGCGTGGGCGCCACAAAGGTCCTGGCGTTCAGTGAGCCCAGCCTGCATGAGGGACACGCCCCCTGTGTGGGGGGGGACGGGGGGGGGGAGGTGTACAAATGGCTCTCAGGAAATGGGCAGAATGGCGCCCAGCACTGGATCGAGGATGAAGGGGGAGGGGCGTTGTGGAGAGCGCGCAGATTGGCAACAAAAATGGGGGAGGGGGAACTAAAATATCCGAGATTCCGGAGTTCTGCTTTAATCCCGCCTCCCCTGGAATGGATTGTGTACGTTTGATCCGCCTTCTGTCACCCCATCCCCCAAATCTCTATTATTTATTTATTTTTTTCTGTCTTCCTTCCTAGTTCTGTCCAACCAAAGCTGAAGCCAGGAGGAGCGCGGCGAAATCGCGTTAATGAATTCCGTGTTCAACGAGCACCCTTCCCGCAGGATCACCGACGAATTTATCGAGAAGAGCGTCTGCGAAGCCCTGGCCACGTTCAATGTGAGAGACTGTCCAATAGTAGCCGGCTCACCTGGTCCCTGTGCCCGCCCCCCCCCCCCACACGCAGCGCGCCCCTGCCTTGTATTCCAGGCTCCCCTTGCCCATCTGCAAGCCTCGTGCCGGCTGGTGGAGGGGAGAGAGAGGAGGACAGACGCCTCTGCTCTCCTCCCCTTCTCACTGTGACATCACTTCCTGGTCACAGCTGTTACTTTCCCCTGGCTAGAGAAGCATTGCAATACGTCCAGTGGAGCCCAGAGGGGACATGCGGGGTCTTTAAGACCTCGGGGGGCCACCCCAGGACGGCACGGAGAGGGCCAGGGGGGGGCCACCCCAGGACGGCACGGAGAGGGCCAGGGGGGGGCCACCCCAGGACGGCACGGAGAGGGCCAGGACGGGGGGGGCCACCCCAGGACGGCACGGGGAGGGCCACCCCAGGACGGCACGGGGAGGGCCACCCCAGGACGGCACGGAGGGGGCCGGGGGGGGGGGGGGTCACCCCGCACCCCGCAACAGTACGGGGGGGGCGGGGGGTGGAATGGGGTGCCATCCTGTAGAAGGATAGAGGGCCGAGGGGGCCACCCCATGTCAAAATAGAGGGCTGGGGGGGCCACCCTGTAGAAGGATAGAGGGCTAGATGTAACCCCATGCCAGTAGAGATGGCTGGGGTGGGGGCCACCCTGTAGAAGGATAGAGGGCCAGAGGTATCCCTATGACAGTATAGAGGGCCAGGGGGCCACCGCATTCATTTGGGCAGACGGGTTTATTTGCACCACTGAGTGTGCAGTGAAATCCGGGTACGCAATTTCTGTCCAGGAGGGGAGCCGGGACCCCCGGGACCTGTGCCAGACTGGAGGGGGGGAGCCGGGGACCCCTGCCGGGACCCCTGTGCCAGACTGGAGGGGGGGAGCCGGGACCCCTGTGCCAGACTGGAGGGGAGGGGAGCCGGGACCCCTGTGCCAGACTGGAGGGGAGGAGGGGGGGTTGCCGGGACCCCTGTGCCAGACTGGAGGGGGGGAGCCGGGACCCCTGTGCCAGACTGGAGGGGGGGAGCCGGGAGCCAGGGACCCCTGTGCCAGACTGGAGGGGGGGAGGGAGCCGGGACCCCTGTGCCAGACTGGAGGGGAGGAGCCGGGACCCCTGTGCCAGACTGGAGGGGGGGAGCCGGGACCCCTGTGCCAGACTGGAGGGGGGGAGCCGGGACCCCTGTGAGACTGGAGGAGGGGAGCCGGGACCCCTGTGCCAGACTGGAGGGGAGGGAGCCGCCGGGACCCCCCTGTGCCAGGACTGGAGGGGGGGAGGCGGGAGAGAGGGATTAGAGAGAATAACATGGCGGTTGTCCCAGCAGGAGGTCCAGAGTTCCATTTTATTGCGCATTTTATGGGTTTGTCTCCAAAATTCCACTGTAAGTCTGTGTGACAAATAAATGACCCGCCTGGAGGTTTTCATCCTTCAGTTTCCACATACCACAGACGGGGCCCCTGGAGGATTCTTCCGGGATTTGCATTGTTTGATGTTTTGCAGAATTACATTTTTTTGGTGGGGAGAGGGAGGAGCTGCTTCAGTGTCGGACTGGAGCGTCATTAACCGTTTTTACCATCCACAGGCAGCAGATGGGGGGGGCACCCTGAGATGTGTGACTGCTGCCATCAGACACGCCCAGGGATGGACTGACAACTCATGGGGCCCCCGGGCAATAGGAGATCATGGGGCCCCTGTGTCCTCGCCCACACTCAAACCACACCCAAAAAAAGCCTATGAAAGGTACCAGGGGCATCTCATGGGGCCCCCTACTGACCCCGGGCCCTCGGGGCAGTGCCTGAGTTCCCCAATGGTCAGTCCGCCCCTGGACACGCCTTCATATGTGCGTACGGCCGCCATTGCTGTATTGTGCGACGGCACCGACAGCTCCTGGGAACGATCGGGAGTCGGCAGGGCGGGCTCCTGATCACGCCGAAAGCCAATCGGAGTGATCATGTGATCAGGAAGCCCGTGTAACAGCCACACGCTACTGAAAATATTTTGCCGTGGGTGAGTCACGTGTGTATTGCACGCCAAGCGCTGGTACAACGATTTATAATCTGTGACCGTCGGATTGGAAGAAAATATTGCAGTGTGTGTGGCGAGCCTGGAATGGTTCAGGAAGGGGTTAAGTCAAGCGGTCCTCCGCCGGGTTTCTGGGTCTAATTATTCACCAGAGTTCTCGTCCTGCGTCATGACGTGCGTTTTGGTTCCCCCACCGCCATTGTGTTGCGACAACGAGGAGCAGATGAAGTGTCAGCGACACATGAAATCATTCGCAGATGCGATCGGTGGGAAATTCGCGTATTTTTTTCACGGTTTTTTTTTTTTTTTTGTTTCTTAGGGGAATCGCGAGGAGGCCGACAACCCCAACACCGGGATCGGAGCGTTTCGGTTCATGCTGGAGGCCAACAAAGGAAAATCCATGCTGGAGTTCCAGGTACGGCTTCCCATCCATCTGGCTAGGAGGGCTATAGAGGGCCAGGTGGGGGCCAACCATGGACAGTATGGGGGGTGTGCCACCCTGTAGGAGGATAGAGGGCTGGGGGGGGCCACCCTGTAGGAGGATAGAGGGCCGGGGGGGGCCACCCTGTAGGAGGATAGAGGGCCGGGGGGGGCCACCCCAGGATAGAGGGGCCGGGGGGGGGGCCACCCTGTAGGAGGATAGAGGGCCGGGGGGGGCCACCCCTGTAGGAGGATAGAGGGCCGGGGGGGGGCCACCCTGTAGGAGGATAGAGGGCGGGGGGGGGCCACCCTGTAGGAGGATAGAGGGCCCGGGGGGGGCCACCCTGTAGGAGGATAGAGGGCCGGGGGGGGCCACCCTGTAGGAGGATAGAGGGCCGGGGGGGGCCACCCTGTAGGAGGATAGAGGGCCGGGGGGGGCCACCCTGTAGGAGGATAGAGGGCCGGGGGGGGCCACCCTGTAGGAGGATAGAGGGCCGGGGGGGGCCACCCTGTAGGAGGATAGAGGGCCGGGGGGGCCACCCTGTAGAAGGATAGAGGGCCAGAGGTAACCCCATGCCAATAGAGATGGCTGAGCTGCGTTTTTTTCTGTTGTGGCGTGTGAACAGTTTTCTGCGTGTTCACGCTACACGCATGTGCGGTGGTGTGCAGGAAAACGCAGCTCTGTGGCCATTGTGTGAACAGGCCCTGGGTACCCGTTCACCTATACAATGATACAGGCTGCTGCGTTTCGGTGCTCGAGAGTGTAATCCGCCTGACTGGCTAGAAGGTATGGCACCAAAGGGCTTGCTGCCCCTCCCAGGACCGGGGGTGTCCTCGCAGAACTGAAATCAACAACAAAAGATACAGGGGTGCAGCGACCGAGTGCATTGCCGAAAAAAAAAACAATGTATTTAAAAAGATAAAAAGTAGGTACCGTATTTTTCTTTTAGAGGAGGAAAACAAGAAAAAAAATTCTGAACCAATGGACTGCAACATAGTACAGGAGATGACCAGAGACTGCGGACACAGTACAGGAGATGACCAGAGACTGCGGACACAGTACAGGAGATGACCAGAGACTGCGGACACAGTACAGGAGATGACCAGAGACTGCGGACACAGTACAGGAGATGACCAGAGACTGCGGACACAGTACAGGGATGACCAGAGACTGCGGACACAGTACAGGAGATGACCAGAGACTGCAGATATAATACAGGAGATGACCAGAGACTGCGGACACACGTACAGGGGATGACCAGAGACTGCAGACATAGTACAGGGATGACCAGAGACTGCAGATATAATACAGGAGATGACCAGAGACTGCGGACACAGTACAGAGATGACCACGAGTACTGCAGATATAATGCAGGAGATGACCAGAGACTGCGGACACAGTACAGGAGATGACCAGAGACTGCAGATGGAGATGACCAGAGACTGCAGACACAGTACAGGAGATGACCGGAGACTGCAGGACACTGTACAGGAGATGACCAGAGACTGCGGACACAGTAAGGGGATGACCAGAGACTGCAGACATAATACAGGAGATGACCAGAGACTGCAGACACTGTACAGGAGATGACCAGAGACTGCGGACACAGTACAGGGGATGACCAGAGACTGCAGACATAGTGCAGGAGATGACCAGAGACTGCAGGTAGTACAGGAGATGACCGGAGACTGCAGACACAGTACAGGAGATGACCAGAGACTGCGGACACAGTACAGGAGATGACCAGAGACTGCGGACATAGTACAGGAGATGACCGGAGACTGCAGACACTGTACAGGAGATGACCAGAGACTGCAGACACAGTACAGGAGATGACCAGAGACTGCGGACATAGTACAGGAGATGACCAGAGACTGCGGACATAGTACAGGAGATGACCGGAGACTGCGGACATAGTACAGGAGATGACCAGAGACTGCGGACATAGTACAGGAGATGACCGGAGACTGCAGGACACTGTACAGGAGATGACCAGAGACTGCAGACACAGTACAGGAGATGACCAGAGACTGCGGACATAGTACAGGAGATGACCAGAGACTGCGGACATAGTACAGGGGATGACCAGAGACTGCAGACATAGTACAGGAGATGACCAGAGACTGCGGACACAGTACAGGGAGATGACCAGAGACTGCGGACATAGTACAGGGGATGACCAGAGACTGCAGACACAGTACAGGGGATGACCAGAGACTGCGGACACAGTACAGGAGATGACCAGAGACTGCGGACACAGTACAGGGAGATGACCAGAGACTGCGGACACAGTACAGGAGATGACCAGAGACTGCAGACCTAGTACAGGAGATGACCAGAGACTGCAGACCTAGTACAGGAGATGACCAGAGACTGCAGACCTAGTACAGGAGATGACCGGAGACTGCGGACACAGTACAGGAGATGACCAGAGACTGCGGACACAGTACAGGGGATGACCAGAGACTGCGGACATAGTACAGGGATGACCAGAGACTGCGGACATAGTACAGGAGATGACCAGAGACTGCGGACCCGGTACGGGAGATGACCGGAGACTGCGGACATACTCGCTGTGGTGTGGATTGCATGACATTGGTCTGAACCAGTGTCCTGAAAGGGACAGCCATAGGGACCATTGCCTGCTTAGTGGTGCCCATATGGCCACTTGTAGTCCCCACCAGGGGGGGATGTGCCGGGCGGACGTTGGTATACTCATACACTAACAATTGATGAGCGTCTCCCGTTTTTTTGCTCCATATTCGTCTATAAATTGTACAGATTCGTGTTCGGTTGACTTGTTGGAGTTTTTTATGACTTCTCTCTCCCTTTCTCTAGGAGCTCATGACGGTCTTCCAGCTCCTCCACTGGAATGGCAGTCTGAAGGCCATGCGGGAACGGCAGTGCTCCCGTCAGGTATGCGGCCTATCAGTGGTGGGCAGCTACTGTCTGTCCGTTGATGATCACAGCCGGGTGACGAGTAGATTGTGTTCCCACCATACTGACCCTCCGTATGAAAGGCTTTCCCTTCATTATGCAGAGGGGCGCAGGGAAGCTGCGGCAAGACAAAGTTCCCTGTTCTGGTTCCCTCTGATACACCTCTCACTGATGGATGAGAGATGCAGATTGACAGGGACCAGCACCCCAGAACGGGTGGACGTCTCACCTCTGCTTCTCTGTGCTGCTTTATATATGTTTGGGGGAGGAAAGAACTTCTGATGTGGAACATGATAGCGGCGCATACGTAAAGGTTGCACTAAAATGGGGGGTTCACTGGCCACAAGTGTAAGAGGGGATGTTACTGGGGCCCCCACTGACCACCATTGTAAGAGGGGATGTTACTGGGGCCCCCACTGACCACCATTGTAAGAGGGGATGTTACTGGGGCCCCCACTGACCACCATTGTAAGAGGGGATGTTACTGGGGCCCCCACTGACCACCATTGTAAGAGGGGATGTTACTGGGGCCCCCACTGACCACCATTGTAAGAGGGGATGTTACTGGGGCCCCCACTGACCACCATTGTAAGAGGGGATGTTACTGGGGCCCCCACTGACCACCATTGTAAGAGGGGATGTTACTGGGGCCCCCACTGACCACCATTGTAAGAGGGGATGTTACTGGGGCCCCACTGACCACCATTGTAAGAGGGGATGTTACTGGGGCTCCCACTGACCACCATTGTAAGAGGGGATGTTACTGGGGCCCCCACTGACCACCATTGTAAGAGGGGATGTTACTGGGGCCCCCACTCCCCCACCATTGTAAGAGGGGATGTTACTGGGGCCCCCACTGACCACCATTGTAAGAGGGGATGTTACTGGGGGCCCCACTGACCACCATTGTAAGAGGGGATGTTACTGGGGCCCCCACTGACCACCATGTGTAAGAGGGGATGTTACTGGGGCCCCCACTGACCACCAATGGAAGAGGAGATATTACTGGGCTCCCCACTGACCAATAACATCTCCTCTTACATTGGTGGTCAGTGGTGACCCAAGTAATGTCCCCACTGACCACCAATGTAAGATAGGATGATACTGGGGGGGGTCTCCACTGGCCACCAATGTAAGAAGGAAAGTTACTGGGGTCCCCCCCTGAACACCAATGTAAGAAGGGATGTTACTGGGGTCCCCACTGACCACCATTGTAAGAAGGGCACCCCACTGACCACCAATGTAAGAGGGATGTTTACTGGGGCTCCCACTGACCAATCACATCCCCTCTTACATTGGTGGTCAGTGGTGACCCAAGTAACGTCCCCACTGACCACCAATGGAAGAGGAGATATTACTGGGGCTCCCCCCCACTGATCACCATTGTGAGAGGGGATGTTACTGGGCTCCCCACTGATCACCATTGTAAGAGGGGATGTTACTGGGGCTCCCCACTGACCACCATTGTAAGAGGGGATGTTACTGGGGTCCCACTGACCACCATTGTAAGAGGGGATGTTATTGGGGCTCCCCACTGACCACCAATGTAAATGTAAGAAAGGATGTTGTTATTGGGGCTCCCCACTGACCACCAATGTAAGAGGGAATGTTATTGGGGCTCCCCACTGACCACCAATGTGCGCGGGGATGTTGCTTTAGAAAACCTACCCCCACCCTGTGATATTTGGGTTTTTATGTTTTGTAAAGGAGATCCTTGCCTGTCTGGAGTCACCTACCCCTTACCATAGTGTTGTGTGGTATCTGCATTCATATCGCACCCCAGAGGGCATGCTGTCCCTAACAATAAGTATGCCTGTTTTTTCTATTTGTATTCAGGAGGTCCTGGCCCACTACTCCCACCGGGCCCTTGACGATGACATGAGAAACCAGATGGCGATGGACTGGGTGAACCGGGAGCAGGACTCTCCAGGAACCCTGACACGGGAGCTGGCGGCCACCGAGAGGCAGCTGGACGAGGCCCGGCTAGCCGGGAAGGAGCTCCGTTACCACAAGGAGAAGAGGGACATCCTGATGCTGGCCGCAGGACAGCTGGGAAACATACACTCCTCCAACTGCTAGGTGGCACCATGCCCCCCCACAATCCATGCAATGGGGCTAGCTGTGTCTATTAGGGGCTAGCTGGTCCTACAGCTTATCCTGTACTCCTCCCTGGTGTCACCTAATGGACAAATGGAGAATTGCACTTGTCAATTGGCTTGAAGTGCGTGTCCCCCCCCCCCCCCCCCCCCCCCCCCCCTCCCAAAAATAATATTTAAGTTATAGATGGGGTCTGCTGAGGTCATCCATTGACTCCTTTTTATCTCTTGGGTACTCCAGAAAAGATCTCCCAGCCACATTTGCTGGCTCTCTTCCTGCTCGTGTGTTTCTATTAAAATCGCAGCAGGGGAAGTGAGACCCTCATGAGTGGAGGCCCGGGAACCCAAGGATCCCCTCATGAGTGGAGGCCCGGGAACCCAAGGATCCCCTCATGAGTGGAGGCCCGGGAACCCAAGGATCCCCTCATGAGTGGAGGCCCGGGAACCCAAGGATCCCCTCATGAGTGGGCCCGCCCGGGAACCCAAGGATCCCCTCATGAGTGGAGGCCCGGGAACCCAAGGATCTCATCGCTTGGGTCCTCCAGAGATGGAGAAAGTGAGTTAAGCATTTCAACTTAAATATTAGTTTTGGGTGGAGTGACCAATTAAAGGGCTGTAATGATGTATTCAGAATCCACATCTTGTAAGTTCACCTCTCTATACTATTTTTACTTCGCAAACGGAATGTAAACATTTTTTTTTTTCAATTTTGGGGTCTGCGATTTCTCAGGAGTACGAACTATCAGTAGAGAGATTTCAGGCAATGGAAGTTTTTGTATTGGAAGGAGAAAGGAATCCTGGGTAAATGCTTCCATTTCAGGCCTGGAAGTGGGACGCCTGGGGGATTTTAAAGCTTTGCAGACTTGGAACTTCCTGTGCTTTATGGGGGTCCATTATGCTGAAGTACCGTCTACAGATGGGGGTCCCCCTTTTCTGTCCTATCACCTCCAAGCTCTGGTTGTCACGCTCCTCCTCTTTTTTCCTATGATGCAATGGTACAGTAACTGGATGAGGAAATGAGAAGGAGCTCCATTACTGCAAGAAGAAGAGGGACAACCTGATGTTGGCTGCAGGAAAGCTGGGGAACATACACTCCTCCAACTGCCTGTCAGGCGTCTATAACCTCAGTGGCAGAGTTGGGGACAAGCCTTGTGTACTTATCAACATAATGGTCCTGGATTCCAGGATACTGTCAACCCAACCCATGGTCTGAATTTCTAACAAGTTAGTCCTGCCCTGACCTCATCTCTTGAGGGGAGAACTCAACCAACCGGGTGCTGCATTCATTGCTGAACTTGTGGAGCACTGGTGCCATCTTGTTGCTCTTTGAAGCGAGTTAGCCTTTCCCCAGAGGGTTGGACTACCCAACTTTCATCGTCTTGGGAGGTGTAGGGGATGCTGTAAGAGAAGCTGGGTAGAAGCACCAGGATCTGTATAGGTTTGAAGGACCAGGACAGAATTCCGAAACAGCGCTGCTCACACATCCTTGAGATCAGACTTGCCACCAAACCCATCTCTAAATACATAGGGACAGCCTACTTTGCAGGTTGGTCCCATCCGGATTCCGCCTCTGAATATGCTGGTGCTGCATTCATTGCTGAACTTGTGGAGCACCGGTGCCGTCTTGTTGCTTCTTGAAGCGAGCTAGGCTTTCCCCAGAGGGTTGGACTACCAACGTTCATCGTCTTGGGAGGTGTAGGGGATGCTGTAAGAGAGGCTGGGTAGAAGCACCAGGATCTGTATAGGTTTGAAGGACCAGGACAGGGTTCCAAAGCAGCGCTGCTCACATCCTGAAGATTGGACCTGCCCCCAAACCCATCTCTAAATACATAGGGACAGCCTACCTTGCAGGTTGGTCCCATCCAGATCCCACCCCTCTATATAGGCAAAGATAGCTTACTTTACAGGTTGTCCCACCCAGACTCCACTTTCAAAATATGTAGGGACTGCCAAATCGTGGTCCTCTGCACCCAGATACCGCACTAGCAAGGGACCTGGATGTGGATGGAGGTATTTATAACTGTCTCCACCATGCAAAAAAAAAAAAAAAACCTTGCTGGATTAGTTAGGAGGGGGGTGGAAGGGGGTCCATATTTTGCGCTGAGTGGGGCTTTAAAATCAGTTACAGTGTTAGCAATTAAAATCTAGACTAATTCGTAGAAACATTTCCCTGCAAGAGGTTGAGCATTTCTACCAAGGTACGGTCTCTGTACGTCCCTCTGTGCCAGCAGGGGCCTATTATAGTAAGGGTGGGGGGGGGGGGAAGAAGCAATGGATAGACAGGAGAGGCAGCATAGGGCAAGGGTCTGGTAGGAGGGGGAGTATCTGATGATTGCAGCCTATATAGGAGATGTGGCTGTCTGCATCCCTCAGGGTACAAATGGGCCGTCAACCATTGAAACAATCCATGGAAACCTCCCAAGAGGTAAATTGAGGGAACTTCTAGCAAGGTACAGTCTTCTCTATGTCCCTGTGTGCTAAGGGGGTCTGTTACAGTAAAGGGGAGAAGAAACAATGGGTAGACAAGGACAGAGAAGAGAGCAGTAAAGGGGTCGGGTGGGTAGGAGGGGGGGGTATATGATGATTGCAATCTATATAGGAGATATGGAGGTCGGCATCCCTCGGGGTACAAATGGGCCGTCAACCATAATCCATGGAAACCTCCCAAGAGGTAAATTGAGCGAACTTCTAGCAAGGTACAGTCTTCTCCATGTCCCTGTGTGCCAGCCAGGTAAAGGGTAGAAGAAGCAATGGGTAGACAAGGACACAGAAGAGCGCAGTGAAGGGACTGGGGTCGGGTAGGAGGGGGAAATATCTGATGATTGCAGCCTATATAGGGGATATGGAGGTTGGCATCCATCAGGGTACAAATGGGCCGTCAACCATGGAAATAATCCATGGAAACCTCCAAAAAATTGGTAAATTTAAGCAAACTTCTACCAAGGTGGTTTTCATGTCCCCATCTCTGCCAGCAGGGCTCTGTTATAGTAAAGGGTAGAAGAAAGCAGCAATGGGTAGACCAGGACAGAGAAGAGCGCAGTAAAGGGGCTGGGGTCGGGTAGGTAGGAGGGGAAAGTATCTGATGATTGCAGCCTATATAGGAGATGGGGCTGTCGGCATCCCTCGGTACAAATGGGCCGTCAACCATGGAAATAATCCATGGAAACCTCCAAAAGGTATATTAAGCAAACTTCTACCAAGGTATAGTCTTCTCCATGTCCCTGTGTGCCAGCCAGGTTATGTTCTAGTAAATGGGAGAAGAAGAAATGGGTAGACAAGGCCAGAGAAGAGCGCAGTAAAGAGGCTGGGGTCGGGTAGGAGGGGAAAGTATCTGATGATTGCAGCCTATATAGGAGATATGGAGGTTGGCATCCCTCAGGGTACAAATGAGCCGTCAACCATGGAAATAATCCATGGAAACCTCCAAAAGATAAATTGGGCAAACGTCTACCAAGGTACAGTCTTTATGTTCCTCTCTGCCAGCAGGGCTCTGTTATAGTAAAGGGGAGAAGAAGCAATGGGTAGACAAGGACAGAGAAGAGAGCAGTAAAGGGGCTGGGGTCGGGTAGGAGGAGGAGTATCTGATGATTGCAGCCTATATAGGAGATATGGTGGTCGGCATCCCTCGGTACAAATGGGCCGTCAACCATGGAAATAATCCATGGAAACCTCCCAAAGGTAAATTTAAGCAAACTTCTACCAAGGTAGACTTCATGTCCCTCTCTACCAGCAGGCAGGAGGGGGAGTAGCTAATGACTCCAGCCTGTGGTGGTTGTCGCCACTTGGGGTCCAGGTGAGCCACCAATCACTTTTAGGCTTTTCTAGGACGGGATCGGTGTTCTCATCACCCCCTGGGAGATTTATGTATGAGCAAAGCCCATAGGGGGGACCTACCTAGAGAGACGAAGACCAGTACATGGAATGAATCCAAGGACCCCTGAGATCATTGGGTATCCCAGAGGTCGGCCCATTAGATTTTCCATTGTCCTCAGCAAAGTTTTTGGGGTTTGAGCACCAGGGTCTCAAAAATAAAGTTGCAGATGGCCAGGCTCCTTTTTTAATTTGTGTAATATTGGATCAAATCTCGTTTCTGAACCATCGAACCCAAGTTGTACAATGCGATTGTAACGCGCGGCCAGAAAATGAACAAAATACGCAATGGAAGACCGCTGCGTGAGGAGTTCGCTTTCAGACCTGCTGTGTCAAAATATTTACCCAGAAGTCCTTGCTCCTTCCTGGCGTCAGTTTGCAAAGCAACCCGTGAACCGGGTTTCCGATCGACGGGACCAGCTGCCTTTTTGTTCCGATTTTACCCCGGCCTCCGGCACTCTGAATGCGTCTAAAGACGAAAAAAAAAAAAAAAGAACCCTCCCCCACAAAGAAGTGACTTCCGCCTACGATACACTTTTGCACATTTTCTTTGTAGGAGCGCGCTCTGTACAGCGTTTTTATACTCCGGCGCTCTGTGTGTCCTGTACTGTTTTATATATATATATATATATATTCTATATTTTGATAGCCGCGATCAGTCGCATCTTCCGAGGCCGAGACGGTAGTGTATTCCTAACAGTTCGGTCAGAAATCGGCTTTTCTATTTTTTTTTTTTTTTGTTTTATTTTTTTTATTTTTTTTTTTTTTTTTTTCTTTATTTTTTGTTTTTTTTTTTTTTTTTTTTCTTTTTTTTTTTTTTTTCTTTTTTTTTTTTTTTTTTTTTTTTTTTTTTTTTTTGTTTTTTTTTATTTTTTTTTTTTTTTTTTTTTTTTTTTTTTTCTTTAAACGTTTTTTTATGTTTTTTTTTTTTTTTTTTTTTTTTTTTTTTTTTTTTTTTATTTTTTTTTTTTTTTTTTCTTTTTTTTTTTTTTTTTTTTTTTTTTTTTTTTTTTTTTTGTTTTTTTTTTTTTTTTTTTTTTTTTTTTTTTTTTTTTTTTTTTTTTTTTTTGTTTTGGGTTTTTTTTTTTTTTTTTTTTTTTTTTTTTTTTTTTT